ACCACTCAGCTATCCAACCAATAATTGTTCAATTGATCAAATCTAAATTACAATCACAACAAATCAACGTTATTCTATCCTGGCTGGATAGATCACACACAACAGGAGGAACAAATCAATATGGCTACCGCCAAGAACAAGTGTCAAGTAAAACAACACAGATGCAGTTCAGGAAGAAACACAAACTTAGTGAATGCGTAAGAAAAACAAAAACTATAATAAAAAATACAAGTATTAACAACTCAAATGTAATCAAAATACAACAATGTACAACTAAGGGAATCAATAGGAACAAAGTACAAGTATATACATGGAGGGATTTTCACCAACACATAAAACCTTCAAAATGGATCTTACACCGGCCCCCAAAATCCCTCCATACCACACAAGCTACCTTGATGCCTACGGTCATGGTTCATCATATAACATATTACACTATAGGAACGAGTAGGACTTACAACAGTACGCCTACTCGACCTACCTACATTAATAACAACAAAGACTAATCCGAAGCTTCAAGGAGACCTGTTTCACTTGCTCTCTGGTGTTCAACAATAACACTCGTGGTATAGACTTAGTCACTCTTCCCCAAACTCCACTCATGCTGTTGGATGAGGGCCTCGCTGACAATTCACTATTTATCTTCTGCTGATTCGACTGTTGCACAAACTTCCTTAACTCAGAAACTGCCCACACGAAGCTTGACGCACTGTCACTGTAAATCTCCGGAGGTTTCCTTCTTCTTCCAATACAACGTAATAAGGCCATTATAAATGAATCAGTAATAAAACTACACATCATTTCAATATGAACTGCCCATGTTTGCAAACAAGAAAACACATATCCATACCCCTTTTCTAATGATCTTCTTATGTGTCCTTGTTCTTTAGGACAATGTCTAATAATCATTTCCGTCACTAAGTGTCGACTGGGTAAAATTACTGGATATCTAAAAGCATTTGGGGAATCTGAGTATCTTAGTCGACCTCCAACGCAGAGTAACCCATCAAGCATCATCACCGATAAACCTTTCAGATCATCATGGCTTACTACTTCACTGCTGTTCTTAAATTCACTTATATGCTTAACGCAACTCTTTGCTTGATCACAAGTGGGAATAGATATCAAGCAATCATCGACATAGAAATTATTCTTGACAGTATCTACGACATAACTATCATAATCGTCAGAGAATATTTGGGCCGTCTTATTCAAAGCAAAGTTCGCACGAAACGGCGATGATGTGACACCAAATGCATGAGTTGTCATTTGAAACTCAGACGGTTCTCTCGACATGTCCCCCTCCTGCCACCACAGAAATCTTGAAGCTCCTCGATCAGACTCAGGAACATTCACTTGCATGAACATTTCTTCAACATCTGCAGGGATTGCAACTGCCTCCTTGCGAAAACCTAATAATATACACATTAACTCAGCGGTGGTATCGGGTTCTTGATAAATCATATCATTCCGGGGAACCTCTGCAAACTGGGCGGCACAATCATTGACCACTCTAAAATCTGGTTTTTTCATGTGTAATACTGCACGATGAGGTAAATACCATCGAGGGCGATAATAAGACTGCAGATATATTTCAAAGACCCTCTCCGCATAAGTCTTAGTAAAATCACTTTCAGTACTTTTGATATACTTGATGTGCAGACTGACATCCTTCGACAACATACCCTTCAAACTTTGTAATCTACGGTTTGCTACTTCATAATTATCCACTCTCATATCTGGATTCTTTTTCCAAAATATAGAAACTACAAAATGACCGTTGCCGAAGCGCGTGCCACCTTCCACAATCTTTATAGCCACCTTGTCGTCTACTGATAATGATTTATCACTTGAATAAGCATCTGAAAACTCTACGTCATAAGGCTTACGTCTTTCGTTCTCTAATGCCTGCATCTTACTGGTATGATTAACAACTCTTTTCCTATATTCCGGGCATGATGGCTTATCATTTACGACGTTGCTTGTCGAGTCAGTGTGCAGCAGAGGGTGATGTCTCCTCTCGCAACTGTCGACCTTACAGAGCCTTGTCATCTTACATTCATTAACTTTATGTACTTGCCTAAGGCAGACAAAACAGATGCCATTAACCTTCGCGTGAGACCATCTCTCTTGAACGGTAAGCGCTAAAAAATTTGGACATTTATAAATAGCATGGTCCAGGGAACACATACTGCATTTAGCTCTCTCTTTCGAATTATTCTCCTGCTCCAATTGCCAGTGACAATTTGTCTTCAAGTTGTGTCCCTTTCTCGGACTTTTCGCTAACCGTCCAAACCTACTATTAGCTACCCTCGCGCGGGATGCTATAAATTGAGTAAGCTCGTCAAAGGTTGGTTCTCTATTATCTTCAGTCAATTCATCCACCCAGTCCGCCCACTGGGCTTGCATAACTTGAGGTAAGAGTCCTACTATTCTCTCTAAGGTAAATAGAGAATTTAAGTCGGCAGTATACTTCATCTGTTTCAAAACCATAGAACAATTTTCCATCCTAATAGCCAGATTTGTTAGTTGCTCAGGATCACTGTAATCAACATTTGTAGTTTTGAATAAGTCCTCTAAAGTCTCCCGAGCGATTACATGCACCTGTCCGAACAACCGTTTTAGAATTTCCTTGGCCTTCTTGTAACCAAAAGAGGCTTTCAACATAACACAACCCTCAATGGCTGTTTTCGCTTTACCCTTACAATAATGTATCAAATAAAGCAAGCGTTGACCATCATCCTTGACCCTTGATTCCACATAGGTCTCAAACTCCCTTAAAAACTTCCAGTAACCTCTTGGTTGACCGTCGAAATAACTTAACTCAACCTTTGGTAACTCTGGACCTATGAAAAACGCCGTAGGCCTTACGCTTTTTGCTTGCTTCACGCCTAAATTAAGGTTTTCTATGCCATCTGCCATTATATCACAACTAGATTCACTATAATTACAATCGTCCCTATTAGAATATGAACCATGACACATAGAAGCATCAGAAGGCACTTGCCTTGATTGAGGGGATCCATCCTTTTGTTCATCTCTTTTAACATCCACGAGCCTTGGACTTAATTTCCTTCGACGATTGTTTGGCATCGCAAGCGAACGACCAGATATTCCCAGAGACGATGATTGGAATCAACGAAACGAAAGCCAAACGAATTCGACCAAATATTTGTTTAGAACTGTAAGATCCAAACTACGTTTGGACTGCTGGACAGCTGTCTGGATGAGATAGATACGCGCCCTCGCCCGATTGAAACCAAAACAAAGTAATTGGGTAAGATAGCGGTTCTAAACAAATATAACCACTCAGCTATCCAACCAATAATTGTTCAATTGATCAAATCTAAATTACAATCACAACAAATCAACGTTATTCTATCCTGGCTGGATAGATCACACACAACAGGAGGAACAAATCAATATGGCTACCGCCAAGAACAAGTGTCAAGTAAAACAACACAGATGCAGTTCAGGAAGAAACACAAACTTAGTGAATGCGTAAGAAAAACAAAAACTATAATAAAAAATACAAGTATTAACAACTCAAATGTAATCAAAATACAACAATGTACAACTAAGGGAATCAATAGGAACAAAGTACAAGTATATACATGGAGGGATTTTCACCAACACATAAAACCTTCAAAATGGATCTTACAAGAAAGGCTAAAAAACCGAACCATACTTTAATCAACCTCCTAATGTGATTTAGATATTTGACTCACTATGCATACGAATGTGTGACTTCGACTGAACACATACCCGCATCCTAATTTTTATTCATTCCTTCACTGACTGTTCACGCAGACAGTCAATAACTTGGATCAAGTATCGATTTGCACCATCTTCACAACATATCTTTTCAAAAACACATATTATTTCACCTTATTTCTCGTATTTTTTCCGATTATCAGTAATAAAAGCCTTCGAAGTGCAACTCGTATTTTGGTTGTTGCATATTGTGAAGGGAATTCGTAACAACACTTAGAAAATTAGACGCGGTTAATGAGTTGGTAACGTTTGGAGTCAAACGGATGAAAGTAACTCCAATAGCCATGCTAACCTTCACTCACTACGTACTCACGCTTGAACTCAACTTCTGTCAACTGATGTTCTCATCTAACCTACTTCCTAATATTGAATGTAAGATTCAGACTTCGATCAATTTTATTCACTGGCTCATCTGGGTGAAATATAAAAATGGCGAAGCTGCCAAATATTCACATCATTTAGTTGCAGTCATGCCATCTACTGACCATCAAGCCTTACCCACCGTAACGAGGTGGCCAGATTATCTCTCTACATTAAAACAATCTGAATGATAATCTAGTTTTACCGGGAAACGATGTACGAAGATGGAAGTGAAAATAAAGAAAGTAATATAGATTATTCAATGAGGCTGTATTCTATGGCGTTCCCGGCCGATCGTATATAAAGCTAATGGAATAGAGAGAAGAGGAACGACGCAGAGTGGAGATGGCTGGTAAGTCATCTCCTATTTACCCAAGCGTTAATCAATATTTATAGTTACACAAAAGTAAATCACAGACATGTGATGAGTAATGGGATAAGAAATGTACACACACCTACGCCCTCACACAAAAACAGTCAAGATTGACAAGAAAGTAAATAACAAGGTCAGAATGTGACTCAAGTAGAATGAACAGAATGGGCTGTCTGAAAGCTAGAATAAGGTAAATGGGCTTAACATAATAACCGACATTACAACCCAAGCAAAAAGGTTACCAGAAGTTTTAAATTAGAATTCAGTATCCTAAAGTGTAGTCAATCTGTTTTGTAGTACGGATCATCCTTCATCAATATTTCTATTTGTAATCAAGTATTTGTGTTCAAGTAATTCAAGTAGATAGATAGTATATTCTATATTATGACAGGTACTTTGGTCACCTACACCGAATTTCGATTGGTTAACTATCCCTCAAAAATGACTGGCTATAAATAATACTTCACATATAATAAAAACAATAATTTTGTGCATTTATCAGAGAATTTATTATCTTGGATGACACATTTACAATGTAATGTAGCTTTAATTTGGCTTATTCAAATGAATGTTCACAAAACGAAGTAATAACATAGTAACTGTGTTTTATAATGTGGATATCTATTAATTTCATGATATTACTACTTAATTATTTGACTAAGGTAAGTCAAGTTAATTGTAAATTGTTAGTAGAAGTAGCTAAATTCATTCTTTAAAAAAAAGAAGTGTTTTTCACCATTTGAAAGTTCCATCTTCAAATAAATATATCAAATTGTCAAGTTAGTTTGTATTGAAGATTTAATAGTATCTGGAATATCGAGAAGTATTGAAAACCTTTTATGATTTTCGTTGAAACTCTTCAGTAGTAAATATCAGTAATTGTATATGAGACGACTATCAAGACATTTAAATTTTAACCTGGTAGACATGACTTTATACTAGAGACAATTTATGAAAATTATAAGTTTGTATCATGGTCACTAACCAACTGTTGAGGATTCTCAAACTAGGCAGAAAAAAACAGATCATATAAGCGTCTGGAAGCTTTTGTAGAGGTAAATAAATCCTCAAAATAAATAGCGTTGTAAGTCTTCGACATTAGATGCTGACTCACCTAGCTGGAGGCACTCGGTTATACAACTGCACCAGATCACAAGTGAGGACGCCATGTTCAACTTCCCTTGCAATCGCTAGCCAGTTTAAGTCAGTCGGTTCTTGACATATTGATAGCCTATCAAATATATCTTCCAATCTTCTCGCTTCTGACTTTTGATTTCACTAGGTGGGTAAGATTCATAGTAGAAGGTGTTACTGGTGAAAGCGTTATCAAACTCCAAATATCTGTGTCATCGTTCACCTTCAGTGATTCTTTAGTTATTGTTAACTTTTGATAAAAAACTTACCTACATAAATCCTTATTTTAATATCAATTTTTTTCTCTTGTCAATGTCCGGAAATACATACACATCGCATATGGTTTCAATGAAGCATTTGAAATTCTTGAAAAAAAATGTATATAGAGTTAACACTGATAAATCATTGATTGATCGATTCTCAAAATTGTAGATCATTCAGTTTGATATGTAGATGAAATTCATGAAGTATTCGATTCTACCAGTGATTAATTATCTTGTTCATTATGTTGGCAATGTTCGACTATAATTATGTATGAACATTCAATGATGTTCAGTGAATAAGTGTCTTTATTAAAGATTAAATAACTACATATTTCAGTTATATAATGAAAAATGTACTTTGTACAACGCCATAAGCATCCTAACATTTTAGACTTTTGTTGAGAAATATATAAATAAGAATAAATTATGGACTAGATGATTATCTGTTACAAGAGGACGTCTTCATGAATAATGTTAAAGTAACGTTTTACAGTTCTTATTCTTAATGGATTAAACTTTCTAAAAATAACAATGTCCGTGAATTAGATTGTTAACATAATTATATCCACCTATAAATTAGTCTACATAACTATAATAAATAGCCTACTCTATCTTTAAAACACAAATAAAATCCTGGATGTGCACTACTGAATATTCTCATACTAATACGAAGCGGCCTTCCAGTGCTTCCAGGTTTTTAACAGTAATCTAATATCAATCACATTCATGGCCTCAATCAAAAAAACTTAACAATCTTCACAACTCCATATTAAAAATCCTTTAATACAATTTGATCTTACTTTGAACGAACAGGCTGAATCTCGTCCAATTACAGGGTTCAACATTTTCTCTACCCCGTCGCCAATTGTTGTAACTTGTGGACTGCAGATTAGATGCACAGCGTATTATCGATCGGATCAATGACACGTAAAACACGTACGAACGACCTAGAGTCCCGATCGGCCCTGCTTCGCTGTCTAGCCCAGCCAGCTGGGTCCATAACACAAGTCTCAGCCTCTGAGAAATGAATCATTATATTTCAGACATACTCTGTTTATATACCAACCAAACAAACCACATCGTACCATAAAATAGAAAACAACATTTGTACAATATGTAACAAGTGAAGTAAATATTGACCAATAGGGAGTGTCCATTTAAAGTCCAAGGACACCATTAGACTTAACATGATAAATATTGGTATACTTTTCCGAATATTCTAACAAAAGTGGTTCAAGAGATTTGCTTTAATGTCGTTATATGAATAAAATAACTCCGCCTGTAGGTCTTTTAGGGTTACTGCCGTTCCCAAAACCGGATAAAAAAGGAGGGTTAGGGATGGAGTCAGAAACCCCATCCTGTAGAAAACAACATTGCTAAAAAACGGTGGCCAGAATAAACAGATTAAACCATTTGAACTCTGCCCTCCGAGTTGAAGGATGTTCCTTCGGAAGAACCATGACGCCTCATAGTGAAAGCAGATATTTTTCAGAAGTTACGAGACCGATGCTCGTTCTAACAGCCAGAACACCAATTTTTATAGGTACATGGAACGTCCGGACAATGTGACAAAATGGAAGGACCAGTCAAATAGCAACGAAAATGAGAAGATACTACTTGACTATTCTCGAAATCAGCGGATCCCATTGGACCCAAGCTTCACAGCAAAGGTTAGGTACGGGAGAAATGCTGCTGTACTCCGTTCACAAAGAGAAAATGCTCCATGCATTCATGGAGTTGCTCTGATGCTATCCAAAGAAGCCCGAAATGCTCTTATAGGATGGGAATCTCATGGACCCAGGATCATCAAAGCATCATTCAAAACAAAGGAGGGAATCACAATGAATATTATCCAATGTTATGCACCCAACAATGATAGCAATGATGACGATAGAGATCAGTTTTACGAAACGCTGCAATCGATCATAACGAAGTGCTCAGTAAAGGACCTGATAATCCTGGTGGGAGACTTGAACGCCAAGGTCTCAATGATGAGCAACAGGTATGAAGATATCATGAGACGAAATGGACTGATTGAGAGAAAGGAACTAGAATGGTGAGAGATTTGCAAATATATGTGTATTCAACAGGTTGGTTATAGGTGGCATAATATTCCCACACAAAGCAACATGTCTCTCATCGGATCACACCTCGGGGAACCAGATAGATCATACTTGCATCAGTAAAAAATTCACACAAACAATCGAATACGTGAGAACCAGGAGAGAAGCTGACATAGATTCAGATCACCATTTAGTTGTTGTCAAGATGAAACTGATGTTAAAGAAGCATTGGAAAACTGGGGAAACAGCATTACAAAGGTTCAATCCAGTCTTCCTTCAACATACTAATGAACTCAACGAACTTAATATAGCTATCAATAATAGGTTCCAAGGCTTACAGGATCTACTGAAAGAAGAAGAAACTACTATGGAGGACGACTGGAAAGGGACCGAAAAGCACTAATTTCGACGTGTCAGTAGGTTCTGGGCCGCAACAAGCATCATCATAAGGAATGGATCTCTATCAAAACCCTAGAGAGGATTTAAGAAAGGAAGGACAATAAGACAGCAAATAGCAACAGCTGAACAATTTCAGAGAAAGTCAACTCACATGCTAAATACACGGAAGCAAACAAGCACGTGAAGAAGAGCATTAGAGAAGTGGAAGACTAAATTCACTCTAAATTCACTCATCCATGTAGTTAAATAAGGATGAGGAAAAACATCGCTCTCGGGTGAGACTATAACTTATGGACCGCCTTAGAGTGACCTTGAAAATTTTCACCTACTAACTAGGACTAAATGAAGGTCATAAAGCATTGTGAGGAATTAGAATTATGGTGGTTAGGGTTAGGAACTAGATTTGGGTTTTTTATCGCGAACTGACATAAGCTAAAATGCCAAAAATGGAATTTATCTAAATGAGTGGGTGAATTTCGCGCCAAAATCTCATATCTCATTGGTTCGTCCATAAGTTATAGTCTCGCTCCCTCTCTTCCTCAATTTTGTCCTTGCACCTGGCAGCCAACTAAAATGAAACGGAAATTATTATTTACAGTGTTGTAATCCATGATGAAAGGAGCGTTTCGTTCTCTTTCCTTTTTTGATGGGTTGCATAAAAAATTTACGGTTTTCTACGACGAAAATACCACTTCATCATGCTACGGACATGTCAAATGTGGTGCACTCAGTCATGATTGAAGAAAAATTATAACAGCAAAAGTCACACGTTCAATTAATTCTATAATAGAAATTATATCAAAATATCTATGACTGGGTGACCAAATAAACAAAACATAACTGTAGTTACTGACTACGATACACTCAGATGAATCAACGACGTGGAGTTTATTCCCAGCCTTAAATAGCATTTTTTAAAATCAAATTTGATGTTAATTTGTCATGAAAACACCTTACTCGAATCCCTTACCCTAACTTCCAACTGTAAATCCTAATCTCAATTCCTCATACTAGTTTGCCACCCTCTTTTGACCAAAAACATCAGGTGGTCTCAAGGTCAGTTTAGCGTCACTAAAGGTCTCACCTCAGATACTGTGAAGCTTGCATCCTTAACGCTCTGAATGTTACGATGATTCTCTGATTTGAGTGGTTGAAAACTGGTTACTGAATCTTTCAACGCTGAACATTTAGTGTTCCTATTCATTGTGGTATTACATATATATCGTTTCCGTTACAAAAGGTTTAATCAATACTCAATTTGTATGAAGTTATTCAGCTAATTTTTAACCGTTACCTTATTTGTGCGATTTTTTAATAAGTGAGTGAAGTAAGAGCGTAAAAACCTAATTTTACTAAATGGACATTACAACAATTTTAGTTCCTTTAAAATACTCCTCATAAGTAACAACATATCGGTTCCATTCTCATTTCCACTGTACAAGTGCTCATAAGTTAAACTTTTCATCTACCTTATCGTCAATGGTTTCTCTACGTATTTTTACAGGAATCTTGCGTAAAAATGATTACCTCGAAGTTCAGTTCATTAACAACAATCTGAACAGTGAACTAACAAACACAAAACGCAATATACTGCATATGTTCGACGCTTACATTAACACCGAAAGCTAAAAATTGTCTTGTCTTTCTATCATCCATACAATCTTCACCGTTCTACCTAAAACTCTTGTAGACAGCCGTTTTATTCATACCATCAACTCAAGACTTCTAGAGTTTCATAAAAGATTTACCCTAATCTCACCAGAAATTTTAGTAGATCAGTTCATATAGTGATGAACAAACTGT